GTATTAAATTTAAGTGTAATGATTGATGGTTAAGTTAAAATAATTTATTATAATAAATGATGGTTCAAACATTCTTCATTCATTATAATAACGTGAGTTGATTTAGTTCATTATGTCATATTATTAAACATGTGTATACACTATATATTAACTATATATTGATTATTTTTCAAATGTGTATTAATTGTATATAAACTATATATCAACATTGTATCAAACGTGCATTCAAAAAATTGAAATTGTAAGGAATAATTTAATTTATTTAATTTATACATTCTCAAAATAACTTCACATTGTATTAACTGCATATTTATTATGTAATAGCTGTGTATGAGTGTGTATTGACTGCATATCAAGTGTGTATCGACTATATATTATATTTTCAAAATTAGGTTTTACAATTTTCAAATTTAAGCAATTTTTATTCATTTGATAAATAACTGTGTATTGGATATTTTTCAATTATGTATTGATTGTGTATCAATTGCATATTAACTATTTTTTATATACACAATCGATACATAGTCAATGTTACTGTAAATATAACTGTTTTTATATCAATACAAAGTCTACCACATGTTAATAAATAGGCCACCAAAATATAAAAAGAAAAATTAATATACGAATGTATATTATATTATTGAAATGAATAAATATCAATTTAAATATTACATATAAAAATAAATATTATTTTATAAGATTTATTATTTTATATGAAAAATTAATCAAAGAATATAGTATAAGCTCATTGAAATGAATCAATGTCAATATAAAAATACAAAAAAAAAATCTCATCGTTGAACAAAATAAGGGGTATACGAATTCAACTCTAATTTTTAGCATTTCTGTTTGGCAATCTTGTTGTTCTACCCAGTTGTCATATTTTCAAGAATAATTCATTTCATATATTTGTAGATGAATATTTCAATATCAACATGGTTAGTTTGGGTTGGCAAATTATAGACACCCTGAATAATCCGTTATCTTATATCACTATCAAAGGATCCCTTCGTCGCCACATATAGGTGTTTTATTTGAACAAGATAATGAACACATATTAGTTGACAGGCCACAAGAGAAAAAATTAATACTATGTTATGCTACTCTTAATTACAATGGAATGAAGAATTTTTCCATGCGCCAGTTTGGGTAAGAAATCGTAGAATTTCCAAACTTTTTCCCTCATCCTACTAGAAGAGTTCAATGATTATTATGGATGATTAGTAGAAGTAAAAAGATTGGATATCCTAACTATAATCTTCTTGACATGTTAAACATACATATGGATGTCATGATTTTATTGCTTGTTTGCCTAATAGAAATCAAAGTAAATGGCCAACGCTTAAGCAAATAATATTATATATAAATTATTTGTTATGTGAATACTAACTCAATGCATTGGGGAGACGTATAGGAAGGGTTGGTACATACCAGGGATAAATTTATTCTTCTCAAATAATAATACAACGAATGAATCCACGTGATTATTATACATATATTTGTTTATTATAAGATCATTAATATCACAGCAAATATCATGCCAGTCATGCAACCAAAGTTAATACACAATCAAGGTATATACAATACACAATCAATATACAATCGATACACTGCAGATACATAATTGGTACACAATTGATACACGGTTAATACGCAATCGATGCTCAATCAATACACAGCTAAAACTCTATGTATCATGAAAAAATAACTCATACACGATTAAAATTTGATAAACACAACTTACGAAGTCCAATACACAATCGATATGTAATCTATACATAGTCGATACAAAGATGATACATGGTTAATAGACAGCCGATATACAATTTATGCACAATTGATACACAGTCGATATGTAGTCGATATACAATCAATACATAATTAATACACATTCAATATATAATTAATACAATGTAAATACACTTTAATTACATAATTAATACACAGTATATACATAGTTGGTACATAGTCAAATACAATACATATTAAACATGTCAGAATGACTAAAACTTACTTTTAATATATTTTTTTTAAATATTGTTCTATAAAAAATTGCTTTTTCCTTTGTTAGCATCTCCTTGGGGCATTTATTGAAGTGTGATAAAGGAACCAAATCTGTATAAGATAAAATATAATATTAGAAAGATACTTATATGCTCTTATACTCATAATTAGTAATGGTGCAAAACCATTTATATAACCAGTGATCTCTCCTTAGCAAAATTCCTATCTTTCATAGTAAACTCAAAAAATAAAAAATATTTTATGGTCCTTGGCCATTTAAAAGATGAGAACTCATTTATATTATTTGCAATATTAACGAGCCTTTTTGGGATTTTATAATTTTAAGGGAAAAATAAACTTAACAATAAAAATATGATAAATTTCTTTAACATAATGGATGAGTTAGTTGATATGTTAATGTTTATCATTTCTTTCTTAATATCGATCAAACTGTATGATGTAAGTGGCTCATTTTCCTAGATAATATCGGCACCCCTGTTTGGTAATCCTGTAAGCAGAGCCACTTCATCTGAAGTGAATCATCATGACCCTTGATGATAAAGCATTGATAAGGAATGCCCCATAATAAGAGTAGCTCATATATCAAAAGAACATCATGTTGGAATGGTAGGAACTTAAAAAATTGATATATGTATCTCTTAAAGGTGTCATCGATATTATTGTATAACATCTCGACAAACGAGTCTCAAATAATTTTTAAAAATTTATGATCTATAAAGATAAGTAATTTTTGGAACATTCATTTGCAAACATCATAAAAAACCATAATTCAAAATCCTAATTAAAATGCAAAAAATAGTTAATACACTATTAGTACATAATTAATACAAAGATAATACATAATTAATACATAATAAATATACAGTCGATATATATATATATAATTGATATACAATTAACATATAATGAATATATTGTTAATACATAATTAATACCAAGTCAATACACATTTAATACAAGTTCAAAAAAAGAGTCAAAAAATGAAAAAAATAAAATAACTCATAAATATTTGAAATATATGCAATCTAATTTAGAAAATATAATACAAAATCAATACACAATCGATAGAAAGTCGATACACTGCCAATATACAGTCAATACACAGTTAATACAAGTTCAAAAAAGAGTTACAAAATGAATAAAAATAACTTATATACATTTGAAATATGTGCAACCTAATTTAGAAAATGAAATTTAAAGTTGATAAATAATCGATATATAATTGATACACAATCGATACACAGTTAATGCATAGTGAATACACAGTTGATACACAATTAATAATAAGAATACACATTTAATGCAAGTTAAAAAAGAGATACAATAAATAAAAATAACTTATAGACCTTTAAAATATGTACAACCAAATTTATAAAATGGAATATAAAATTGTTGCATAGTCGATACACAGTCAATATATAATTAATACATAACTAATACACAATTAATACTGAGTTAAAAAAGATTCATAAAATGAACAAAAATAACTCTCAACATTTGAAATATGTGCAACTTAATTTAGAAAATGAAATATAAATCGATATATAGTCAATACACATTTAATATACGGTTAATGTACCAAGTCAACACACAATTAATACAAGTTCAAAGAAGAGTCACAAAATGAACAAAAATAACCCATAACTATTTAAAATAGTTGCAACCTAATTTAAAAAATGAAATACAAAATCGATACATAATGAATACATAGTTAATACATAATTAATACTAAGTAAATACATCATTGATACATAGTTAATACAAATGCAAAAAAGAGAAAAAATGAACAAAAATAACTCATAGAGATTTAAAATCTATGCCACATAATTTAAAAAATAGAATACAAAGTAAATACACAATCAATACACAATTAATACTAAATTAAAAAAAAATTCACAAAATGAACAAAAATAACTGTCAGACATTTGAAATATGTACAACTTAATTTAGAAAATGTAATACAAATGATACACAGTCGATACAAGGTCAATATATAATCAATACACAATTAATGCCAATTCAATACATAGTTAATACAAATTCAAAAAAGAGTCACAAAATAAATAAAAATAGCTCATAGACATTTGACATCTATGCAACCTAATTTAGAAAATGGAATATAAAGTCGATATATAATTGATACATAGTCGATACACAATCAATATAAAGTCAATACCCAGTTAATACACTGTTAATACAAAGTCAATACACAATTAATACAAGTTAAAAAAAGAATCACAAAAATTAAAAAAAAAACTCTTAAACAATATATGAAATATGTGCAACCTAATCTACAAAATGAAATACAAAGTCGATATACAGTTGATACACACTCAATACACAATCAATATACATTGTATAATCTCATGTATAAAATTTTACATAAATGTTTATATTCACCGATTTACAGTATCGTGAGCATCCAATCGTGTACGCCAAACTGATTGTCCTTTTCACTTTTTTTAATAGTGCGATGACTGTGCTTCTATTTGTTAAACAAGGTGAGCCACGACAACATAAAAAAATGATAAGTAAACTCCAAACTCTAAAAATTATAAACATAAATCCTAAAACTTATTTTGAGAGAAATGCCAAAAAAAAAAATATATATATCTCTATGAAGATGAACGAAACGAGAATGACAAATTAATCTTATTGGAAGATGATAACTTAACGAGTTAACAGAGCGCCTAAATGTTAATGAATAGTGAATCGTCTGTAATGATGAAGATGAAAAGTGAACAATGAACCGACTCTAATGTCGAAGATGAAAAGTGATTCTACTATGCAACTTTTGATCTGTCGCAAATTCAAAATTTCCACCTCCGAATTGGGTCGAGTTTGTCGGGCTCGCAAGAGAAAAATAAAATAATAAATCTATTTGAAATATCTATCTCTTCAATTTAAATCTTATAATTTTATTAGAGTCCCAACTAAAGCTAAATAATAATTTATCCCATAAAGGACATAACTAATCAACACGTTTTTTTCGGCTATGGTTTGTTGTCATGCATTACTCACCGAGAAAATACCAATAAACCGTTGTTGGGGTTCTGGCGCCTGGCGGATGCTTTCGCAATCCTTCGTCGCTGAGCAACCGCCTTCCCGTACTCTGGAAACCAGAAACCCTAGGGTAATATTTTGCTTTATCTCTATCTGAATCTGATCAAGGTAAATTTGTTCTCTTTTTAGTCCCTTTGGGATTTGCAGTAGGTGCTGAATGGCGACATTATCGGTTCCTAAGAGTGAAGCGGCGGAACCGCTTGCTTCTCCTGTCACGCAGCAGCCGCCCATAAATGTTAGCCGCGAGGATCCCATCTGCAGCAGTGCAGTGGAGAAAAGGAATCACGAAAAAGAGAACACCGAACTAACGGATGAACTAAGATTTAAGCGCGGTGTGGATGAACTCACATCGCAGGTCGATGAGGTATGGATACTTGCATGTTCAAGTTTTTTTTTTTTTTTTGGAGTTAAACTTAGCGGAGGTTGGTAGCTTGTTGCAGTTGGAGCGAAAATTGAACGAGGTTTCTGAGTTTTATGCCACCAGGAAAAGGCATAACGAGGGCAAAGGGACTTCGGATCTGAAGGATAAGGAGAAGCATGGCGCGAACAGCAACAGTAACAACAATACTAACAGTGGTGGTAATAACAGTGGCACAAAGAAGCCCGTAGATGTGCCAAGGCCACAAGGGGTGTGCTCCAAGAGAATGCAAGAACTCATGCGACAGTTTGGTACTATTTTGCGTCAGGTGCGCATACCTGGCTTTCATGTTAGCGAAGTTTATGGACTTTTGAAATGCTTGTGTAGCCAGAATGCTTTGGTGTCCAGATTTTTCTATGTATTTTCTCGAGTTCTTATGAACTAAAATAGTTCCCATCGTGGGTCGTTGCTGTGCCTTTTATTTGATGCAAGTGATCATCTATAGTATGTTTACAGTGCTGGATATGTAATGTATTTAAACGACTCCTTTATTTTTTTGAAGTTTGTTCTTTTAGATGGTGCTGATTGCAAGCAGGATGGACTTATAGGATAATTTGTTGCATAGCTATGGATATCCTTGATATGTTTTTATGTCACAAATACATTATTTAGATATATTTTTAGGGTCAGGCCCTGATCCTCTTGGTAGAAAAAAGCCACTTTCGTGTAAATTTAATTTCCAAAATATTTTATCTTTTACCTTCCAAAATGGGAATCATCTTATTCTTTTCAAGTCAGACTAGATAGGAATATAATATTTTATTATACAACTATTTAGTTATCGATCATGCACATTCATAGTTTTTATTGAGACAAATAGAATAATGTGATGTTTTTTTTATCTTTATACATTAAGGTGTATTGAATGAAATTTTATATGCATGTTTAGGTTGTTTTGGAATAAGTTAATGACTTTGATATGTAGATGCTATCGTAAGGATTTTTGACATCATTATCATATTATGTTAACTATCCCCATATGCTTGATTTATTAAAATACAATATAAAACTAAATTTTATGTATTGTTTTTTTATAGTTTAGTATTTGATTAAGATTGTAATTATATCTTAGGGCCTCCACAATCAAATAATGTGATCTTATTCTTTTCTATGCATTTTCTCATGTTCATGCATGTTTATTATAAATCTAGTTACTTGTAGATGCATCTGCCTATTGAATACATCAATTTTTGTTTTTGATGATGTTAGTAATACCCCAAGGATCAATATTGAGCATATATTTTGTATCTTTTTTGATATTTTAAAGATGACGTTCATGAGGTGCCTTAGTGTATGTTTTTTGTAGATGCGATAACTCTTGCCTATGAGGCATTTGATTTAAGTAACAATAAATAGCAATTGGGAAGATATTATTAAAGAATAAAGATCGAGTATTGATATGTGATTTTAATAGTACAAGTCAAAATGTTTTTAAGATAAAGGGATACCTAAATGTAATAAGTTTAATTATCTTGGATTTATTATAAAGAAGAGGGATATAGATAAATTCATGATGCAAAATGATTATGACTTTCATAATGATGTAATGAATATAGATCACATAAAAATTATGATTCGCAGATCAACAATTAATAAATATATAAAAGTTTGATTTGTCTGGGTGCAAACTAGGAAACCAGTACCCAAAATTAACCATCCCCAAAATTTGTTGCCATAGGAATGGATGGCTGAAACAAGAACACCATATTTGTTCTGTCGTAGGAACAATGTACTGAAATACATGTCAAGGAAATCCAAACAATGAACTGCATAATTAAAATTTTGAGATCAACAATGAACCAACCTAGTCTAATCTTTCACCAAAACATTTAAACTAGCATAGCACCTGGAAATAGAGAACGAATATCTTTTTCAAGGCCAACATCATAGGCACATCCCAATTATTGAAAATTATGAGTTACAAATTAACTTTCAAATGATAAAATTAAATAAAAACTTAGCTTAGGACATTTATTTGTTAAGTGAAGTATTGCAGAGATGAGGATGCTCAGGTGGATGAGTGGCTTTACTCTTAGATAGATGATACAAAATGAGCATATACATGAAAAGGTTGGAGTTTCTCTAGTGGAAGATAAGATTAGAGAGAGTTACCTTAGATGGTTTGATCACATAAAACGTAGGCCTTCTGATGGCCTAGTTAGGAAAGTAGATGTATTAGATTTGACTTTGTTAAGAAAGGTAGAGGTAGATCTAAAATGACTTGGTTAGAAAATATTAGAAATGACCTTTCTTTATTAGATTTAGATGATAATTTTACTCTAAACACTACGCAATCGAGAAAAATGATTTATGTAGCCGACCCCACTTACTGGGATAAAGGTTTGTTGTTATTGTTGTTGTTCTTATGAGCTTAGTCCCAAAGATGTCCATTAGGATATAACTTATAGAATTAAGGTTGAGTGGTTAAAATAGAAAAGTGTTGTAGAAATATTTGGTAATAAGAGTATACAACTATACTTAAACTGGCGATGTTTTATGGATCCTAGTGTTAGGTAGTTAAGAAAAAAGAATGATAGCTTAGTTGAGCATGCATATGAAATATTAAGATAGATGTGGGGTAAAATTAGGAATGATATTCCAAGGAATAATTTATGGGAGGAATGGTTGGAGTGAAATTTATTGAAGATAAGAAAGTTGAAAATAAACTTTAGTGGTTTAGACTTCAACAATGAAGTATAGAAAATGCACTTATTAAACAAATAGAAAAAAAAAAGTTTCGGAATATTGGAAAGGAGGGGGATTAGGGAGGTAGATCTAACGTAACATGGATAGAAATTATTCAAACAATTGGCAAAGAATAAGTTTAACATCTCTGTCATCGCTTAGTATGAGCTAATGGAAAATGAGGAATTATTAAGCGACCTTTATTGGTTCGGAATATGAGATAAGGTTGATAATGGCGCACATTAGGTCCATATGTTAATTCATTTATAAGATTACTGTAATCATAATTTTCCTAGCAATAAGCTTAGAACATTTACTATCCGATCCTAGAAATTTTGAGCAATTGTAGGATGCCTTCTATGCATGCTTAATATTATTAGGCTATGATGAGATTTCTCGATTTCTTAGCAATTCTATTCTTCCAAGAGAGAGATGTTTGTTGAGTGAATTTGCTGCTGTTTAAAGTGAATTGCTGTTAAACTTAATTCTCCTAATGGCGAACTTATGAAGGCTGGTTATATTTCCAAGGATTATATACACAATTATATTTTATGATTTGCACATAATCCTTTAATTAAAAACCTGCACTTTCAGGAATTTTTTTCTGAACAAAGTTATTGATAAAAAATTCATTTCAAAAAATTAGAGGCTGATAGGTAGTATCTTTAATATGGTTTAGCTTATCAAAATGTTTTGACATCAAGTGCTACCATAGGTATTAGTATATTCCATGTATAGCTACAGAATGGTTTTACGGCAAATTATGAAGGATTGAGAAATAATTATATATTGAGGAAGTGGTAGTAACATCTTTTGCTATTAAGATAGTGGAAGATAGACTTTGATGGTTTGAGTTTGTATGTTGTGCAATTTGATATGCATAATAACCTAGGAAGACAGAAAATTGTGGAATAGAAAGAAAAATGATATACTAATGTTAATATGAAAAAAAAATAAAAAAAAAATGAAAAGACTTGCATATGATGTAGTTAACACTTATTGTATATTCAATAAGAAGCAATGGAGTTGCATTGGCAAATATAGACCCCAAGTAGTTTGGTTAAGGATAATGGTGTTGATGATATGGAAGCCAGAAATTGTAACGCTGTTGATCATATTGTACAACAACAATAACAAGCCTTTATCCTACTACATGGGAATGATTACATGAATCCTTTTCTCCATTTTGTTTTATTAAGAGTCAAATTATCATTAAATTTGATAAATTAAATTTGATCATATTGTAATAAAATTAAATTTGCATGTGATATTTTGAGCTAAACAGGTGCCCTTAACCACTTGCACATCATCATTATTCGTTTTCCAATTTTACACTCTTGTTTAATCTTCTACAACTGCTAGTATTTTGAAACTATAATTAAAAAATCAAGAAATAAAATGTTGTGTCAATAAAGATTTTCATCAACATGATTCACTTCATCTTCTAAAGTTGTGTTCAAATTATCCCATTTGCTTATTGAACTGAACGTGCTATGGTACTTACTGTCATTTATGTATTTAATGTTTTAAACAGATCTCGCAACATAAATGGGCTTGGCCTTTTATGGAACCGGTAGATGTCAAAGGGCTTGGTCTCCATGATTACTATGAGGTATTGTTTCTGATCTGTTTGTCACGTCATAATTTTGGTTTCATTCTTAATGCCAGCCTTTGCGACTTATGAGTGGAGATGGAGGGAATTTGAATTGTGTAAATTTCGAAGATAAAACTGTTGCTCTGTTTGCTATTGAGTAAATTCTGCCGATTATCTAAAAATCTTAAAAAAGGTTTCTAAAGAAAATATTGCCACCATTTGGTATTGATTATTGAAGCTTATTTTTTTATCTTTCTAACATTTAGTTTGGCCAGGTTACTTAGTGGCTTTGTGCTCGGTATTCTTATCTCTTTGTTTGACACTTTCCTATTGCCTAGCTGTAATCTATGTCCATCTCTCACCCCTTTGGCCCATTCCATGTGGCCAGAATGAGCTCAATGAGCAGCCCCTGACATTAGACGTCCTTTATGTTTGTATGATCAACAGAGATATTACCAGCAATCTGTCTGAAATTTCAGTTTTACCAAAAAGTTTCATGCTCATGTAGTTGTAATTTGTATACAAATTTGATCTCTGACCATAAAGATTCCAATTGTACATTTGGTTATGAAGTCATTGGATCATCTAGTATGTTTCCATTCATGATTTGGTTGTTCAACTATTCCTTGGAGACATGTTTGAGAAGGGCTATGAATGGTTTCCCTCCATTCTTTCTTTGGGCCACCCACTAGACCCCCAAAGTAGTTTTATTATGGCCCGTGCATTACCCAAAAGTTTACGTAAATTATCATCATGGTTTGAGTGTTATTTTGATATAAGTTAGGCTAGTTTGTCACTTTTATGAACTTATTTTGGCCTTGGCTCATCTTTGTTGTTCTTTAATAATATGAGGCAATGCATCATACATATCACAATATTAGGCCAAAAGATGGTTCCTACTTGAGTAGCCTAGTTGACTTATGAGTTGATCAAATCAACTCCAAGGCATAGTGGACACAACATAGGTCTTAGTTGACTATGTGTCACAATTGATTTGAAACACTCCTGATTATTTAATTGCTTTTCAATCAACCCAAATTTAGATCCTATTGACTTGATCTAACTAATTCTTGTTAAGATCAATTTCATCAAGCTTTAGGAGATTGAATGAGCCCGTAATCCAGTATAATTTACCTTGATGGTTTGATTGAGCTCAATTAGTCTTGCTGAAGATATTGCTCAATAAATGAAGTTCACCTTTGGCTTAACTTGCTATTATTTCAAGGCTCACTAAGAGCATCAAAATGATAGTATCAATAAGGGCTCGTATAATGCACCCTATTAGATTCAACTTGCTCTACCATCTTCAAGCCCTTTTTGATCAAACTTGAATATTAACTTAAGCCAGGTAAGGGTCTCAATTGAATTGAAGTGGCACTCATAAATTTTAATAAGAAAGATTAGTTTGACCCAAAATAGATAAACTCAAACCTAATCCATCTAATCAAAGCTAAATACCTATTTGACTAAACCAAGCCCTGATTGCTTAATTCAGTGATAGGATTACTCGATGAGACTCCCAGGATGTATCAAATTAGTTATGCCTTCGGTTTAAACAATTAACAACCTATATGGCTTGGTTAAAACCAAACTGATTCTTTAAAACCTAATGAAATCAATCAAATAATTTGCTTTGCATTAGTTGTTGAGACTAGACTCTACTCATTTATTTGATTATTGGGCTAAGCATTAACTTATCCAGTGCACTCAATTTTAGCATAATCATTTGATTAAGCCAAAATGACATGATTAATTGCTAAGCTCTTAAATAAAATTTAATTGTTATGATCCAAACTTATTGGCCAATTTTGCAGGTCTAACATAAGCTTAATTATATTATACTTAAAAAATTAGAATCCTAGCTACATTTGAGTACCCATAATCAAGTCTTTGGACCCTTTCGATTTTGCATGGGTTGAGACCTATGTATAGATGATTACGGGGTTATCTTCGATTGAGGATGCTATTCAATTTTCAATATAGAATTTCCCTGATTCTCTTATTCTTTTGGATTGTTAATATAAAGTCAATCTTGAATTGCACCCATTTTCCTCTGGCTAAATCTTTTTGTTTTGCTTCACTAGACTATTATATATATGTGGTAATGTCAATGGCATTGGAATAATCCCATTGTTTTTGTTGTTGATTGTATGATATGATAATGGAATGATCCTTGCTTCTTGTTTTTGTTGCTGATTTAGTAATAGTTTGAAGAAAGGTTCTTCTTGAGAGAGAGAGGGAAGGGAAGGGAGGATTGACCATTGGAAAACAAGAGGGGAGGCTTTTTCAGTTGTTATATCTTGGATTATGTGTTGACCAAGGGAAATCAATGGGATAGGAGACTTGTTCAACAGCAATATTTTGGATTTTGACATTCAACGTGCTTTAATCCTACAATAGGCCATAGAATGTACCAAAATTCCCTCTTTACTTACATTCTTAATTACAAATTCAAATAAAACTCATATTTATCAATTATGAAATACATAAGAAACATAAAATTAGTGTTATCCACTAAGCAGATTAACGTCAGGCTTGGAATTGGGTTGGGTAATGATGTGATCTATTGCGTTTTGCAAGAAAGTTTTTGAAGTTAGATTGATCAGTGGTGTTGACTCTTTCATATATCCAAAGTTCCTTCTCGATGAGTGCCTGCAAAAATATGTTTCAAGGCATTTAACATATAGGGCATGAATAAGATCTATTTTGGTTGGAGAGACTTTTCTTCTTGTACTCCTAGATTCTAATGCTTGATCAAGTATTAAATTTGAAATATTTCAAGAAAGATGATCTACTTTTTCAAGCACAAATCTTACCAATTGGGTTTATCTTTTCCCTTTTTATCTTTTCCTCCTATTCTCTTATCTATTTTTTTTCACTATTTTGACTGGTTTTATAGGTGCGTTTTGTTTTATACTGATTTGTTACATTTTTTAGCTTCTTTTGCATGCATGAAATCTTCACCGACTGAATTTTTTTGATAATTTCTATTAGGAGGTCAAAATCTTGTCACTTGTGATTGAATTTCATTGATTTTTTATTACTTATTATTACAAAAAATAAAAGTTTGTGTTTGACAGTTCGCTTACCTATGAAATTTGCATGATATTTCTTGAATTTATTTTCTTAGAGTGTTCCCGTTTATAATGAGAAAAATATATAAAAAGGGAGTTTGTATATCAATTAGTTTAGCATGTTACCAAATTGGATATTTGATTTGTATTAAAACCCTTGACCCTAGTACAACTTACATCAATTACTATTGTCTTTTCCCGAAAAAGTGATCTTCCATATTTTTTTGTCTTAGATTATTAAAAAGCCCATGGATCTTAGCACAATTCGAAATCAGATGGAAGGCAAGGATGACACTGGCTATAGAAGTGTTTCTGATATATATGCTGATGCAAGATTAGTTTTCACAAATGCCATGACATACAACGATGAGAGAAATGATATCCATGTAATGGCAAAGACATTGTTAGCTAAACTTGAAGAGAAGTGGTTGCTCTTATGGCCAAAAGTTGTTGAAGAGGTAAATTCGAAGTTTCTACAGTGATTTCTATGCTTCTCCACCTAGAAAGGATCCATGAACTAGGTTTCAAGCTTCTCATTGTTTGCCTCCAAGAGAACCCCTTTAAAACATGAGTTCAAATTCCACTTGCTCCAACTGCTGCTTCTAATCATTGCCACGATCTCTTGTTTTGCATGCCTGATTAGGAAAAGAGACTGAAGGAGGAGGAATCACAGGCCCTAGCCAATATGCAGATTGTTCATGAAGTTTCTATGGCAAAGATGGCTTCTGATGTAGAGAATGAAGTAAGTATACTGATTGTGAGTCATTTACTTGCTTCATTAATTCTTTTTAATTATGAAAACTCCGTGTGAAATGTTTCACCAATCATATCACCTAATGATACTAAATTTTTGTTTGTAATCCGTCCACGTTTTAAAACTGTCATCTTATGTGAGTAAAAGCTCAAAATAACATGTCGATTATTGATAAATGTTCAATTTAGTCCCAGAGCCAATAATTAAAAATTGAGTCAATTTAGTTCTAAAGCCTAAAATAAGAGTTAAAGTTAATTCTAAAGTTAAATATTAAGGTTATTTTAGGTACTACAAGTGAATATAAAATTATATTGCTCAATTCTATGATTTTATTATAATACATATTTAATCTACTACATAATAAGAGTGAATAAATAGTGAAAAAAAAAATATTTTCTTAAAACAAAATCTAACAAGATAAAAATTATAATTTTTTATCATTTAAATATAATAAAAAAAATGATGGCTTCCCTTGTATAATACAATTTTTTTCATGTTAGATTTTGCTTTAAAAAAATAATTTTTTTGCATTATTTATTTACTCTTATTATGTAGTAGGTTAAATGTGTATTATAGTTTATTAAATGATAAAATTGAGCAATATAAACAATGTAATCTCATATCTACTTGTAGTTTCTAAAACATCCTTCATATTTAATTTTGGAGTTTAACTCTTATTTTAGGCTTTTTGATTAAATTAGCTCAATTTTTAAAAGTTGAGAGACTAAATTGGAGCAATGTAAAACTCTGAGGTTAAATTGGACATCTTTCAATAGTCGAGGGACTATTTTGAGCTTTTACTCCATCTTATTTTGAAATTTGACTTTTCAAACTACTTGCCTTTTTCTTCTCACCGCCTTCTTAAGACCTTTAAGGCATTAGAACTGACATCCTTGAAAATGTTTCAAGTTAAAATTTCTTTCCTTTGGTTGACTAATGCAGGTTATATCACATCCATGCCAGCTAGTTCAATTCATTCTCATAGACTATTGATTTTGGCAGTTCAAATGTCTATAGTTTTGGCAACAATGCCTCAGGTTCAATATATTTAGGGTTATCATACTATTAGTAAGAACGAATTAATGTGCTGCTAGTAATTGTGGGTTCAATTTGATCTACCTGATCTCAGCTGTTTAAATATCCTTATGTTTGGCGAGAAAGTTGGAGTAGCTTTGAGGACTCATAAAACCACATGTTCCACAGTTTAACCTAATTAAGTTATTTTATTTAGAAAATAATTCACCTTTTCACCTCTGGATGTGAATGCTCTACTTAGTTTGATGCATTGCATGGAACTTGTGAATTCTCTTAATATTTATTTTCTCCTGCTTCTTTTCAGCTTAATGAACTCAATTCACGGCTGGACGAACTTAGAGAAAGGGTGGTTAACAAATCCAGGTATGGCAAAGAAATTAATTTTAAGTTTAGAATCTGTTCGATCTCCATTTTACACTTTTGCAAATCTTGATGATGAAGTGCTTTGATTGGTGTTGAATGTTTGTAAGAAGACAATGATATATTAGTTGATTCTTGTATTGATGATCCTGAAAGATCCTAATAATTTCTGCGAACTGATCCCATATTCTCAGCCAAGGAAACGCGAACAAGCAAGGACTATTTGAATCTAAAGCCAGCTATGAACATCAAGCTGGCTAAACTCAATTTATTTATATGAGGACCAATATTTCTCCGAATTGAGTAAGGATGTTCATATATCCAATCAAAAGAACCTGAAGCTATTTATTATTTCTAATGGATCGAATTAATGTATTATGGACATCGTTTGCAATAATGTTGTAATGTATTATTGATCTTCAAAAAGACATATACTTGAGCACCATAAAAGTAATCTAATGGCATTGTTAATAAAGGATGTCTGCGAGGTATGTTAGTGGTGTTTACTGTAAGTATGATTGGGCTATGATGGGTATTGAAATAGTTGTGGAGTATTCAAAGAAATTTTCTATGACCTCATTATTGCATAGAGTATTGACATTAAAATGTATATTTTTCATTTAGTTAGTGCTTATTTTGGATCTTAAAAAAATTCTATTTTGTGGCATGCTATTTTCTATGACAATCTAAATAGGAGAATTTATAGTCTAAGTAGATAACAATTAAGACAATAAAGAAAAAAAATAATGTAGTTAGGATTAGTATAAAAGAATGCCTAGTGGTGTGCATTGTTTGATTAAAATAAAAAAAATCAAACCATTGGCTGGTTCGATTTTCTAAATTTTAGAGCCAAAAACTGATTGGTTTGGCTAATCTGGAAGCCAATCAGAATCAAACTAACCAAATGCATAACCCTTGAATGCAGATGATATATTATTATGGTGAGTATGTAATTAATGATAATCAATATAACTTCGAAATGATTAAATTTTAGTACTTCGGGTTTTGGACCTATCATATAATAGAGACATCATAATTTTTGTTATTAATTAATTTTGTGTTGTCATTTTTTCGTTCAATTTGATCAATATGATATGGCTTACGCATACGTGGATTAAGTTTTTCTTATGTTTTCTTAATCTATCTTTGATTATGCTTGTAGAAAATAGCTTCTCTTATTCTTAAAATGTAAACACTATAGACGAGATGAAAAAACCTGCGTTAACCTCTTGTTATCCGATTTTGCACAAAGAGATGAAAATTTTTCTAGTTCATACACTACTACAAGCAAGACTGCCCCAAAGCTTTGTTGTTGGTTGATTAGGAATAGCACATTCTCAAAAAAATTTTATTACCATATGTAATTTGGCATTCTTTCCGACATCAAGCTCTGTTGCCTTCTATTTGTAGCCTATTCTCTTACTTTTACCTTGAACAATCCACCCCTTCAGCATCATGTTAACTCTTTGTTGACCTCAATACAATGCAAGTTGAAATTTGAAAGTAAAAGAGCATGACACCCGCATAACTCACCCGATGTGTGTCGATCGGAAACCAAAATCTCCAAAATGGCCTCCGTTCGCGAAGCAGATAGCGTCGATGCGTCTGGAGCAATGGAAACAACTAAGATCGACACCTATATTGATTGGGGTCAACGATCGACGAAAATTTGAATTTCGAGCGCGCAAATCGAGGTGACGACATGTGCGAATGACGACGACGTGGCAACTAACTTGATGCACGATTAAAAAAAATTATGTCATATAATTAAAAAATAATAATTTAAAGAGGGAGAGAGGTTTAAAAGAAAAGAAAAGAAAATTCTTTAAAAAGAAAAAATCTAAAATTCCCCCACTTAAGCCCTTAAGCCCTCATAACTTCCTCCTTACTCCCTCACTATTTACTCATGCCAAAATCACGCAAGAAGCCGCGCTGCTTCGTCCTCTCACTAATTAGCTATTTTAGTCTATCGTCCAACCTCCGTTCCCGCCTTGCCTATGCGAGCTTATCGGGCCGGGTCGTGACATATTCAACGAGATTTTTGGGTCAAACCCGGTTTGGTTTCGGGTTTTCGGGTCAACCCAAACCCGACTCGGTTTTACAAACGAGTCAAGATCATGAACTTGAACCCCAACCTGTTTCCCAAACTGGTTGACCCTAACTCTGAAATTTTCAAATCGGGTTTTTGGGTTGTGTCAAATATTACCCTTGCAAAAGCCCCATTAAATTTAATATTTTTGATATTTCATAAGTAAGAACATGATTGAAAGATAAGAAAAAGTAAAAACAAATTCTAGTCCATAATGATATGATTCACATTCAAACTTTAAATTTTAATTGACATAAATATATAAAGTAAACCAAATCTGATGCCAAAATGAAACAACACAATTAAAATACACCTGTCAAGTCATCATTCTTTAAGCTTTATATCCTCGAAGTTATATTCTCTAATTGGTATATGTTTAGAGTAAATGGTTTGTTAATTTAATTTTTTAATTAAATAGGAAGTTTGTGTTATAATGAATGAGATATAATTATTTAATAGCTTCAAAATTAATTTAGGTCAACTTATATCAGGGGGCATAAGCCTTGCTTAATTGGGTGCCAAAAGAATGACTCATATGATTGAGATGATGCCCCAACATATGGGGCATAAACTGTACTAATCAAATGCCACTGCAAACTATCTTGAGACATTTTTGCTTCACTTTTATTCAAAGGCACGCCCTAGGCATACCCCAAGACTTTATTCTGGTAGAGTGCCAAATTCCATCATAGTTATATGATTATCTACTTTAACCTTGTGAAAAGGTTGAAGTTGACTTTGGTTGTATTGTCATATAGCATCAATGATGTGAAGCACTGGCAGTGAGTCACCATTCTCTTGACATGCACTACAGAGTTAAGGTCCAATGGAGAAATATTAATTGCCTTTCCAACTATAACATTTTTCCCTTAACGAGAAGGATATCATTGCTGCCGTTTATAAGGACAACATTCTAGTCCCAAAGATACAATCTTCGAAGGATCATCTAGTAGAAGTCCAAATGCATCACATCTCTAGTGATTTCATCCAAGTACAAGTTCATGATGACAATTTTAAAGGTGAATTGTGTTGTTATTTTCATCGCCACCTTCTTTTGAATCTAGTTTTGAGAACATAGTGCTTGGGGTATGCTGTTATCGAATGCTCAACTAAACCATCTTTTTTGAATTGATGTTCTTCTCGTTATGGTGGATGCCACCAGCATCTTCACTTGGGAGTTGAGTTACAATTTAGAAGAGTTCTTCTTTATCCTTCCTATCAATGGAAAATATGCTTGCATATCTTGTCGAGGATGTTGGCTAAGGATGCGAGCAGTGAGTTCATCTCGATCGAAGAAAAAAGGGCTTGCTGGAGGGAAGTAAAGAAAGTGAGCACCTTTGGGTTTTAAAGTTTTGAATGGCAAATTTGACAAATTTGTTGAACTCTATGCCTTTTTTCTTATAGAATTTAGCAACATTTATGCAATGGATATTCAGAGCATCTTTAACAATGCCAGGCTTGGGTGATAATCACTAAGGATTTGGGTTGTATGCATGTAATGCTAAAGATTTTGCATGTTGGGTAGTGGTAGCATTCTTAGTTTCTATGGCATCAGTAGATATCCCATGTGTGAAATCCTAGCCCCAAAGAAAAACAATCTTCCAAGGATCATCTAGTAAAAGTCTGAAGGCACCACATCTCAAATGATTTCATACATGTACAGGTTCATGATGACAAACTTGAAGGTGAATTGTGTGGTTATTTTCATCTCCACCTTTTTTGAATCTAGTTGAGAATAAAGTGCTTGGGGTATAGTGCTATTGAAATCTATACTCATTCACTTTTTTTGAGTGGAGGTTTTTCTCATTTAGGGTGGATGCCTCCAGCATCTTCAGTTTGGCCTTGACTTAGAAGAGTTCTTCTTGTTCCTTATCATCAATGGAAAATATACTTGCGTAGCTTGACAAGAATGTTGGTTAAGGGTGAAAGTAAGCAGCCAGTTTATCTCAATCGAAGAAGAATGGGCTTGCTTGAGGAAAGTGAGGACCTGTGAGTTTTAAAGTTTTGAATTGCAAATTTGATAAGTTTGTTAAACTCTATTCCCTTTTCTCGTAGAGCTTACCAACATTTATGCAATGGATGTTGAATATTTACTACATCTCTAACACCACTTGACTTGGGTGATAATAACTAGGGTTTTGGGCTGTATGCCTGTAATGCTAAAGATTTTGCATGTTCAGTGGTTAGGATTTCATAGTTTCTATTGCATTAGTGAAATATCCCATATGTGTGTGAGGCTGCATACTCGCAAATTTATTCCTGTGTATGAATGTGCTATGACCAATCTTCCTTAGCATTATTAACTTGAATGTCTACATGATTTCATGCATTTTTATGTTTTTCTAACCGTGCATTTATTGCATCCAAGGTTTTTGTACCATTTGAGTTGCATGGTATGCTTTGTTTATGATTTTTGTAACTTTGGGCCTTCCAAATATTAATACAGTTCAGTGCACGCTTGTTATGATATCTGAAACACGTGTGAAGGTTTTGGGCCTTCCAAATATTACAGTTGTTCAATGCACTTTTGTTATGAACTTATGATATCTGAAGCACGTGCGAAGGTTTTGGTTTTTAATTATCTCCGGAAAATCTAAGTTTCTTCATTTAAGTTAACCTGACTTGCAGTTGAAAATCGTCCCATATCTTGAACCGCCTTGAACTTTAGTTCTCTCTTCTTGAAATTTACGTGTTGGTGTTGTCTTAATAATATCTTTATCTATACTTCCGTTGTGTTGCATCTATGTATTATTTTCACGAGTACTTATTCATAAAAATTTATAAGTTTCCAACCCTTTTCCTGATTAGGAAATGGTCCACAGAAGAGAAAAGAAAACTTGGCGCAGGACTGAGCACTCTATCCATTGAAGATCTAAATAAGGCGCTCGAGATCATCGCTCAAAGCAATCCAGATTTTCAAACTGCAGGAGAAGTTGTTGAATTTGATATGGATGCCCAGGTTATTCTCTTTAAAAGCTTCTTTTACTCATATGCATTTTTTTCTTAAAATTCCCTGATGTCATATGGTGCAACTTCATTACTTTATGAATCATAAATTTGCTCAACTTGATGTGTCAAAAAAGCTACTGTTCAGAGTAGGTACGAAGCTCGACCAACTAGTAAGCCAAAGTATAATCTAATGGCCCTTCTGATGCTGCCTTTGTAGCCTATTCGTCTGTACTGTTGAATATTTATTTCTTCGTGGATTGGTGTACTCTGTGGTATGCCTGTGCAAGCCTGCACTCTAATAAGTGCATAAAAAATCTAACAAAATCTGTATTTGTGCACACAATGGTTTTTAGGTTTTGTATTGGAAAACCTTGTTTTTCCAATTCTATTGTTCAGTGAAATAGATGGGGATATTATCAGCAGTTCAAGTTGGATAGTTGAAGTGAAGGAATGCATCAGGTTTGTTGTGTGATAGAAAAGTCTCTCTCAAACTTAAGGGATAATTCTATAAGATGGTGGTGAGACCTGCAATGCTTTATGGTGTTGAATGTTGGCCATTAAAAAAGAAACATAATACTGAGTTAAGTGTTGCAGAGATGAGGATGCTCATGTGGATGAGTGGCTTCCCCCTTAGAGATGATACAAAATGAGCTTATACGTGAAAAGGTTGGAGTAGCGCCATTGGAAGATAAGATTAGAGAGAGTCGCCTTAGATGGTTTGGTCACATAAAACGGCAGCCTTTCAATGACCCGGTTAGGAAGGTAGAGGTATTAGATTTGACTTATGTTAAGAAAGGTAAAGGTAGACCTAAAAAGACTTGATTAGAAAATATTAGAAATGATCTTTCTTTATTAGATTTAAACGAGAATTTGACTTTTAATAGGACACAACGGAGAAAAAAAGATTCATGTAGCCAACCCCATGTAGTGTGACAAAGGCTTAATGTTGTTGTTGTTTATTTCATTCTAAATTCTTATCATATTTTCTATCTATTTGTCCTTTCATGTTCTGTAAACTCTTTCAGAAATCCATTTCCTTTATTTTAGTTCTCTGAGCCGATGAAAGTTTTTCTTTCTTTAACAGAGCGAAACCACCCTTTGGAGGCTGAAATTCTTTGTGAAGGAAGCGTTGGAGCATCAAACCAAAATTTCTGCAAACAAGGATAATGGCAACTTAAAACGCAAGGAATTCTGTGATGCTCTGGCCAAAACTGCCAGGAAACGAAGCAAAAAGCTTGGTTCTTCCTGATGCAAATCTGATAAATATTCTAGAAATTTTGTGATTTATCGTGCATAATCTTTATTATCTACTTTGGCTTGTGAGCATCAGTAGATTTGGCTACTGTACTATATTACAGCAGCTCACTGGTATACTTATATGCGGACTGATACACAATGGGCTCTTGTAGATTTTCATACACCGCTCCTAATCATAGTTGAAGAATATTAGAAGTTGTAGATAGCAACAAGTTTTTATCATCTCTTTGTCTTGTACTGGTTTCATCAACAGTTTCATTTTAAGCTATTTATTTACAAATATTAATGTATATTTCTATTTTATTTGAGCTTAATTTTTAATATATATAATATATATATATCTAAGGATTTGATCAGCTATGAAGATGAGCCCGATCAAGATCCCATGGTTCCGTCGTCCCGGGCTGTCATGTTCCCTGATCTATTTAGTCAGAAGAGGTAGTCGATCCAACCTGATAGAAGAGTTCGTGAGTGTTTTTTTTTTAATTTATGAGTGCCGATTTTTCCTCATTTATCTAGGGAGTTAGGGTTTTTGTTTTTGTTGGTGTGTTTTATGGGGTAGGGCTCATAATTTTTTAAGAACAAGACTTATGGTCACAAGAAGATGGCTTATTGCTTGTGATTTGGAGAATTATATATTTATGCACCTTATCTTGATATGTTGGTTAAAAGCTTTTTAATTTGTAATTGAAAAATATGGAGGTTTGTTAACAATCACATATTGATTGTGGTTATTATTATTATTATTATTTATTAAAGCAAAGTTTAGGGAAGGTCTTCATTCTAAAGCATTATAAGTAAATTTTTATGATTACTTCTGAGGTTAAAAATGTCTTAGATACCCAGCAGTATCTAGCTAGGTACTCAATACTTGTGCGAACCGTCCGCACATAATAATCTCTCCAATTTAAGAGGATATGCATTCACCTTCTATTACAAAAATAAGTTTAGCTAGTTACAGTAGGCCAGAACCAAAAACGAGAGGAAATTAAAAAAAGAAAACACAAGAAAATTGAATAACAAAATTAATGCGAAAGAAGCTGCTAGTATTAATGAAAATGCTTTCGTTGAGAGTCGAACTCAAGACCTCCCGCTTACTAAACGGGTGCTCTAACCAACTGAGCTACGAAAGCAGTGCAATAGAATTTGTACAAACGGCTATTTATCAAATAAATATTTTGTTAAAAAAAATAGCCAATGAATGCACCATTTAAAATCCAATCAAATAGATATCTTTGAAAAGAAAATTGTAAATAGTTGACGAATTTATTTAAATATATTTTTTTATTGTTTTGTAGTAGAAAAAGTTTATCATATATGCGACGCCGTTTATTTGGAAGAAAAAAAAAACTTCTTGAGGGTTTTTTTATGTAAATAGATTTTATTTTTTTTCGGCCTATAACTTTGTTGTAACAAAGAATATTTTTTTTTTTTTAAAAGAAAGTTTTCAATAGAAACCAACCCTAAAGTCTTATAAGCTTTCCCATCATAGAAAAAGGGAAATTAAAAAAGACAGAAAAATGGAAATTAGGGTTCATCTTTTAGCACGATTTAAACAAATACTTATGCTGTTGAGATAATTTTTAATTTTTTTATAATAAAAAACAAACATTAAAAATAATTTTATTTGTATCACAAATAGATTTTTTTTTCTTTTTTAAAATTTATTTCAAGTTTGTTTGAAATAAAATAGAATAAATTTTTTTAAATTTATTTCAAGATTTTGTTTCTGATATAAAATAGAATAAAAAATATGATTGAAAAATATTATTTTAGAAATTCTCATAATTAAAATAAAAAATACAAATATCCTAATATAAAGAATCATAATCTCTGGCTAATATTACTATGTGAGCCCAAGTTGATGCTTAAGATTCTTTATGTAAATTTTTGATATAATATATTCCTCGATTTTTCGAGCAACAAGTTTTTTATTAAAATTATTATAATATAAAAATAGAAAAAAAATTGGCTTATAAAATAAGTCACAAAATTTTTAGATTTTTTAGTGCAAGAAAATTTGTGACGGTGGAATTTACGTTTAATATCTTAGCTCTATATAAAAATCTAACAAGCACTCGAAACAAGTTGCAAGAGACTTAGAATTTTTTTAGTGGAAAACTCAAGAATAGGAGAATTCACAGGGACTACTTCAAATGCAATAATTCTTTAAATAATAAGAGATATGAATCATTTCTTTCTCACATGTGAGGAAGATGGATTGTATACATTTCAATTCGATTATACGATCCTCTTCATATAGACATGTTCGCTAGCCAAATAAGATAATTGACTTAGTAAAGCTGACACATACTCAGATTCTAAATCACTCACATACCTACTTTGTTATCTTTAATTTAAATCTGATCAGCATTCTTCCCAGACCAAACGATGCTCTAGTTCTTAGTAAGAGATCAAAAAAGAACACTCCTTGACAATAGAAATCAGGTCAAATTTTGTAGGGGAAAACAAGGTCGGCCAAACAGAGGTAGTTGATCCGTGATTTCCTTGGTTCAAGGCACGATGCGACGACTAGAAGCAAGAAAACGTTCAATCTGAGCGAGAAAAGGAGTAGCGAGCCGAACCCCATTTTCGAGAGCCAAAGAAAGGGAGCAGGCGGACGGTTTTCACGAATAGGAAGATGAGTTTCATGCGCAAAGGAGCTAGTGTGTTCGATATCGGGTGGGTTTTAACGGAGAAGAATGCAGAATGGTATTTTAGAAAGTAAAATAAGTTTTAGGTGATATGTACGTAAATATGCAAGTTTGGGTGTTAAATGAGTAAATAATAAACATTTAAGTGTTATGTATATAAAAATCCCTTTTAATAAATATGTTCATAATTTAAAAACTATTGTATGGCATATATTTACCTCATTCATTGTTGATCATTTATCATATATGTAACTATCTTAATGATATGTCATAATTTAATGAACTTAAGCTCCATAGATTCGTCTTGTCAATCTGCTCAATTTTGATTCTATGCACATAATATATGAAGACTATCTGATTCATAAATTAATGTCCAAGAATTTTCACATGTTTCATTAAAGCTCATTTGGAATCGAATTGATCATTTGTAATATTGATAGGTATCCAATACTGATTAAATTAATTTTATTTTAAAATAGGTGAAAAGTAATTTATTTTTCTTCATCTATTACATCAAATTTAAGATAAATCCAATCTCTCTTAAAACTTATGCTAAGTTCATGTCGCATACTCAAATTCATACGTATTAAATAAAATTAACAGTATAAATAACGTTAAAAAGCTTTTTATCTTTTAAATCTTAATTAATTAAACATTTGATGAACGCTAAATCAAAACTAGCTCATCATCATAATTACTATATATCTAAATCATTTAATTTAAATTTGTTGGGATCTCTACAGAGAAAACCCTTAAAAAATTGGCGTATGCTACTCTATGTGACGAGCACACGGTATTCTTTAGTAAAAGGCGAAAGAATAGTTCGCTTTGTGCTCATCACGCAGCTGCGTGCTTTCAATGGTTCCAATGCTTTCTTATTTATAGGCCAACGACGCTCGCCTCCGTCAGCTTAATCAATGTGGGACTAAACTTTCTGATACTATGATATATTTCTTATACGAACAAAGCTGAATTAAATAATTTAAGCCTAGCGTAGGCAGTACTAAGTACCTTTTATTGGAGAAGCAAAAAAATTGGGGGAAAAAGAATTAGATGAGAGTATTCTTACTGAAATTTTGTATAATTATTTCGATGTGTTTAGTCCTAGCGTGAAAAACAGGATTGTTTGCGAGAGAATAGCCGACGTGTTGTCGCAAAAGAGATCAGATGGAGAGCTTTGTAATACGTTGAAGTCGGTGAGCAGGCGTTTGATCCAAATTATATCTACTGTGGCGGCTGCTAGAGCCCTGTACTCAGACTCGGTGGAAGATCATGCCACTGTGCTTTGTTTCTTAACTGCCCAGAAGATGAGGGTCTGACTGAGGAATGTACACTGACCGGTAGTTGATCTTCGAGACACTGGATCACCGGTCCAGTCTGCGTCCGAGAATGTTCTGAGTTGTAGAATTTTTTTAGTGGAAAACTCAAGAATAGGAGAATTCATGGGGACTAGTTCAAATGCAATAATTCTTTATATTATAAGAGATATGAATCCTTTCTTTCTTACATGTGAGGAAGATGAGATTGTATACATTTCAGATCGATTATCATATTCTCATTGTGAGAATTATAAAAATTAGGTGTCCATAAATAAACTGTTAAATCAAATGACTTGATGATAAAAATCTGATAATGTTGGAAGCAATTACATATAGTGGACGTCGGCGGTGATCACTGGAAAATGCTATCGAGTTCTTTAGCTTTCTCATATTTTAAATCTCCTTCCATGTATAGATAACAAGGTTTAATTTTATTTATAACATTTTTAGATGATTATTTTAATAAATATGTTCGTAATTTAAAAAAACTCGATTGTATGGCCTATATTTACCTCATTCATTGTTGATTATTTATCATATATGTAACTATCTTAATGATATGTCATAATTTAATGAACTTGGGCTCCATAGATTCGTCTTGTCAATTTGCTCAATTTTGATTCTATGCACGTAATATATGAAGACTATCTGATTCATAAATTAATGTCCAAGAGTTTTCACATATATTACACATGTTTCATTAAAGCTCATTTGAAGTCGAATCGGATCAATTGTAGTATTGATGGGTATCATCACAAGAAGACATTCAAATCTAAAATCAAAGTCAGATTGATCTTTGATATGTCACAAAAAATCACCTTAATCATGCACGAATATTGATGCAAATATGAATAAAAAAAATTTCAAAATTAAATTCAGGATCTTTCAAGCTCCGATTTCAACAAAGCTTATAGTCAAATAAACATCTCAAAGAGACAAACCCAACGACACAAAAATTGGTCCAATCTGAACTCAAATGGATCCAAATCAAGGGTTCATCGCTTATGTGGAAGCTTTATAACATTAGTTTGATGATGAAATGATATCCAAATGTGGGGCTTATAAGCGAATTGAGCAGCTCAACGAGACGAATCCAACAAGCCCGAAATCGTCGAATTCTGACAACATTAAGACACACAAATGCTTAATAAATGTTATATTGTCAAAGGAATCACTACGAGCTGTCTGATAGAACACTCCCAACTTACCCTTCTTCTTCCTATTTACTAGTCATGCCACTAAAAATTTTTTATAAATAGTCCGTCTTTCTTCACATGAAGGAGGAAGAAATGAGAAAACTTAGGGAGCTCCATTATCGTCGACCACTGCTGGATCTCTTCCCAACTGCTGACATTCGCTACACTTCCGCCATTTCTCTTCCCAACCACCACCCGTCGCTGGACTTTCGTCTGTTCTTTGATTTTTGTCATAACTCTTCATGAATGCTATCGACGTCACTTCTCCTCCCAAATACCATCACTCATCGAATACGGTCCCTCCAAGCAATGTCGCCGGTCGACTACGATCCCTACGACCTCTGCTACCCGCCGACTATGATCTCTCTCACCAACATCTTTAGATGACGATCTCCTCGACTATCTTCATCCGACTACGGTCATTCCATCCACCATCATCTGGCTAAAATTCTTCCGACCTCCATCGTCCGTCGACTAAGATTATTTGATTACTGTCTTATTATCCAAAAAAAATAGACCAACACTCTCTTAAGAGTAGTTGCTCCAACTATTTGATGTGTCTAAATAATATGTATTTGCTACATTGAAGTGACACCCTCCTATGCAATTTTTTTCTTTGTAAACCACCACCAAAGGAATCATTTCAACTGAGTCAGGCCTCATAATTTTTCCCCTTTTTCAGCATTTCCACATAAAATTTGTTGGTGTTTGTAGAAAAACCAGAGAAGGAGAAAGGTAGATGCCAAAACAAAGAACAGAGGAAATAAAATAGAAATGTATTTTTACGTCATCTTTTACAACACTGGAGCCTGTATATATATAGGCTGCAGTCTAAGTGATAGGTGCTAGTATGATGTGGTAAAAATATGTGATGTTGATTTGTCTTCTAATATTCTCCCGCAAACTGATGGATCCTTGGTGATTGTCTGTTTGAGCCTGATGTATTGAAATCAAGGTGTGATCATGTTTTTGGTGAAGATGTCGGCGATATGGTCGATAAAGCTGATGGGGAGATGTCGTATGTGGTTGTTTTGAATTTGATCTCGTATAAACCAATAATCTATTTCGATGTGTTTAGTCCTAGCGTGAAAAACAGGATTGTTTGCGAGAGAATAGCCGACGTGTTGTCGCAAAAGAGATCAGATGGAGAGCTTTGTAATACGTTGAAGTCGGTGAGCAGGCGTTTGATCCAAATTATATCTACTGTGGCGGCTGCTAGAGCCCTGTACTCAGACTCGGTGGAAGATCATGCCACTGTGCTTTGTTTCTTAACTGCCCAGAAGATGAGGGTCTGACTGAGGAATGTACACTGACCGGTAGTTGATCTTCGAGACACTGGATCACCGGTCCAGTCTGCGTCCGAGAATGTTCTGAGTTGTAGAAATTTTTTGGTGGAAAACTCAAGAATAGGAGAATTCATGGGGACTAGTTCAAATGCAATAATTCTTTATATAATAAGATATATGAATCCTTTCTTTCTCACACGTGAGGAAGATGAGATTGTATACATTTCAGATCGATTATCATATTCTCATTGTGAGAATTATAAAAATTAGGTGTCCACAAATAGACCGTTAAATCAAACGACCGGATGATAAAAATTTGTTAATGTTGGAGGCAATTACATATAGTGGTCGTCAGCGATGATCACTTGAAAATACTATCTAGTTCTTTAGCTTTCTCATCTTTTAAATCTCCCGCCATGTATTGATAATGAGGTTTTATTTTTAGCATTTTTAGATGATTATTTTAATAAATATGTTTATAATTAGAAAAACTCTATTGTATGGCCTATATTTACCTCATTCATTGTTGATCATTTATCATATATGTAACTATCTTAATGATATGTCATAATTTAATGAACTTGGGCTCCATATATGCACACAATATATGAAGACTATATGATCCATAAATTAATGTCCTAGAGTTTTCACATATATTACACATGTTTCATTAAAGCTCATTTGGAGTTGAATCGCATCATTTGTCGTATTGATGGGTATCGTCACATGAAGACATTCAATTCTAAAATCAAACTCGTATTGATCTTTGATATGTCACAAAAAACCACCTTAATAAGGCACAAATCTTGATGCAAATATGAATAAAAAAACTTTCAAAATTAAAATCGGGATATTTTAAGCTCTAATTTTAGCAAAGCTTATATTCAAATGAAACATCACAAGGAGACGAACCCAATGATTCAAAAATTGGTCCAATCTGAACGCAAATGGGTCCAAATCAAGGGTTCATTGCCTATGTGGAAGCTTCATAACATTAGTTTGATGATGAAATGATATTCAAATGTGACATGCTTATAGGCGAATTGAGCAGCTTGATGAGACGAATCCAACAAGCTCATGATCTTCAAATTCTGACATCATTAAGACACACAAATGTTCAATAAATATTCTATGATCAAAGGAATCGCTACGAGCTGTCCGATAGAACACTCCCAACTTACCATTCTTTTTCCTATTTACTAGTCATGCCACTAAAAAAACAAAAAATAGCCCGTCATTCTTCACATGAAGGAGGAAGAAAATGAGAAAACTTGGGGAGCTCCATTGTCGTCGACCACCGCCAGATCTCTTCCCAACTGTCGACCTTCGTTAAACTTCCACCATATCTCTTCCCAGCCACCGGTTGTCGTGGACTTTCATCTGTTCTTTGATTTTTGTCATAACTCTTCATGAATGCTATTGATGTCGTATCTCCTCCCAAATATCATAGCCCGTCGAATACGATCCCTCCAAGCAACGTCGCCGGTAGACTATGATTCCGCCAACTATGATCTCCGCTACCCGCCGACTATGATCTCTCAAACAAACATCTCCAGATGACGATCTCCTTGACTGTCGTCGTCCGACTACGGTCATTCCAACCACCATCATCTAACTACAATTCTTCCGACTTTCATCGTCCGTTGACTATGATTATTTGATTATTGTCTTATTAACTAAAAAAAATAGACCAACACTCTCTTAAGAGTAGTTGCTCCAACTATATGATGTATCTAAATAATATGTATTTGCTACATTGAAGTAACACCCTCCTCCAATGCAATTTTTTCTTTGTAAACAATCACCAATATCAAAGGAATCATTTCAACTGAGTCAGACCTCATAGTTTTTCTCCTTTTTTAGGATTTCTATGTAAAAATCTTTGGTGTTTCTTGTGAATTATATGTCACTCTCTTCTATATGTTTGTGTGATAGATCTTCCCTTAAAAAAAATTGGCGTATGCTACTCTATGTGACAAGCACACGGTATTTTTTAGTAAAAGGCGAAATAATAGTTCTCTTTGTGTCAGGATTTCCATGTAAAAATCTTTGTTGTTTCTTGTGAATTATATCTCACTCTCTTCTATATGTTTGTGTGTCGGATCTTCATATAAATTTAAGACGTTAAACTCTATATTTCTCTATTGCCGAGAATATTCTAAGACGCAAGTTTTGAAATTATTTTGAAACTTTTTAATTTAAATATCGTTTCAAGATCGAAGTTAATCAAGCAAAATATTTAATTTATAGATGTGTCAATATTTATTTCAAAGTGAAATATAAATTATATATAATTCTTCATGCATTACATTGATTTTAAAATAATTATTTTTATTTTCTTAAAACTTATGCTAAGTTCATGTCACATTTATCTAAGACATAAATTCAAAAAGAATATCTACATACTTAAAATCTTAAAAAATAATAATTTACAGCATACTTATTATTTAAAATTAATCGTTAATATAAACGTTTAAAGGCTTTTGGTCCTTTTAAAGAGTTAATAAACTCTAAATCGAAACTGGCATATTATCATAATTAATATTCATCAAATCATTTAAATTGAATTTGTTGGGATCTCTTTAACGAGAACCCATTAAAAAATTAGCGTATGCTGCTCTATGTGACGAGCACACGGTATTCTTTAGTAAAAGGCGAAAGAAGAGTTCGCTTTGTGCTCATCACGCAGCTGCGTGATCTCAACGGTGCCAATGCTTTCTTATTTATAGGCCAACGACGCCCGCCTCCGTCAGCTTAATCAATGTGGGACTAAACTTTCTGATGCTATGATATCTTTCTTATACGAACAAAGCTGAATTAAATAATTTAAGCCTAGCGTAGTCAGTACTAAGTACCTTTTATTGGAGAAGCAAAAAAATTGGGGGAAAAAGAATTAGACGAGAATATTCTTACTGAAATTTTGTATAATCTAAAAATTTGCTTAAATTTATTTTGTGTAATCACCCAATTTAATATTTCATTTGGGCAAAAGCTTTTGACCATCATTTTTTTTGTTGATTTAAAAAAAAAAACTATACTAAAAAGTTATTTTAAAAACATTAAAATAATCATCATTATTTTTGTTAACATCATATTTTTATAGATTTAAATTGCTAATGATTGAACCACATGATGAATTTTTGATATCTACTAGCACACTCACTACTACAAGATCATCATAAATAGGGGTGTCAATTTCAGGTCACGGGTCGGGTTCGGGTCGAACCCGGAACTGACTCGGGTTCAAACGGGTTGACCCTAATCCGACCTGGGTAGCAAAATAGGTTGGAAATTCGAACCCGGACTACCCAATCCGGCGGGTTGTCGGGTTGACCCGACCCGACACAGGAAGGCGGGCTCGGACTCGGACGCAAGCGGACTCGCGGGTTGGCGAGGCTGAGCGGGCGCGTGATGGCACGCAGGCGCGCGGGAGCTCAGCTGCAGCGCGCGGGTGGTC